GCGGAGAAGTGTAGACCTCAGCTGGATGCTCCAAACACAGCCCCAGCCCCCCAGTTCCCCACCCACAGTACAGAAACAAGTGCTCCACAAAAAAGCGTGCAATGGGCTAGATTCTCACCTGTGATCTTCTGCTGTCCTCATCATGGCCTCCTCTGCGCCTGCACTTTTATCTGCAGCGGGGCGTTATCTGCAGCGGGCATGCCCACAAGGCTGACCCATGGGGCTTGGAAACTCCCCCACGGGTGTGTGAGGCCAAGGCAGCGCAGAACCCACCTCCCAGCCTGGCTCCCCGGCAGGGGGGCTCCTGTGCACCCACCTGGACACACAGCCTGATGCTCAAGCAGAGCTTCCCCAGTTTTTCTAGGGGGAAGACATGAGGCAGCACTTTGCCACGGTTTGAGAGTCTTGACTCCTCCTGGGGATGCCTTACAGGAACAGGGCTCCTTCCGCCACGGTGCTCTTCATCCTTTGATGCTCTTAAAGGTCGAAAAAGATGTCTTCATATCCACCTATGGAGGCACCAGCTCTAAAGGGTGTCTGGTCTGCTCAGCACTCCTGTCTCACCTTCCCAACCCGCCCTGCCCCGTGTCCCGGTTGTAGTCTGGAAAGGCCCATGACTGCTGCTCCTTGTGCACTTCCCTGCGCAGACAGCAGCAGGAGGCACCTGGATGATGGTTTGAAGAGGCTTCATCAACCTCCAGCTGCTGATCTTGAGCGCAGGGCAGCTCAGGCAGGGTCCTGCCCTTGCCCAAACTGCCGTTGTACGGGGAGCTGATCTGGCCAGGCACAACCTCTTCCCCTGGCCAAAGCCCCTCTCCCTGTCCGAGTGCAAATCTGATGGACAAATCCTCACCGTGTTGTAGCTGTGCCGATGAGGCCGGGCAGTGGGATACTGCTGGATCAGGCAAATGATGTGCTTGAACAAGCTTGTGTAGAGAAGCAATGGAGCTGCACCACCACTGCTCCTCAGCTCACTCCTAATTGCACATTGCAATTGTGTTTTTCCTTCTGTAACAGAAACTCCTTGGCTCAGCAGCACCAACTGAGAGCGCGGGCTCCGCCGGTGTTCCCCCAGGGTAGGGTAAATGAACACCTATTAGCTGAATTCCTCCCTGCCTGGGGCACTGCAGGAACCGCAGTGGCTGTACAGTGCCTCTAGCAGCAGCTCTGCAGGTGTCCCTGTCCCCAAAGGTGGGTTACTTGAGGTGGTTCCGCACCTTGTGATGCCCTGCCTTGGTCCTTCAGTGCTTTAATCTGCAAAGCAAATTGCAAATCTTGCAGCAAGTCACAGGCGAGGCTGCACCTGGAGCACAGGTTCTGTTTGCAGACCCCTAGTCCAAGACAGGTTTTGACAAACTGGAGGGAACCCACCTAGAGCCCAGGACATGAGAAAGCTGGGTTTGGCCAGCCTGGAGAGCAGAAGGCTCAGGGGAGCCACTACTGGCTTCAGTTGTCTCATGGGAGGGCTACAGAGCAGACAGCGCCAGAGTCCTCTCCGAAGTGCACAGTGAAAGGACAACAGGCAATGGGCACGTGCTGCCGCAAAGGCAATTCCCATTAGACGTAAGAAAAACACCGGTGAGAGTGGTGCAGTGCTGGGACGGGGCCCAGAAAAGGGATGGGATCCGCATCCTGGGACATAGCGCTCACTTGGATGAGACCTTGAGCAACCTCCCCTGGCCTGCGAGGCAGCCCTGCTGCGAGCAGAGGGGACCGGCGACTCGGGAGGTGCCCCCAGCCCACGCCTCTGTGGTCGTGAGGGCTCAGCGTGTCTAACACAGAAGCAGAGTATCTGCCCGAGCTGCCACCACCAGCTGCTTGCACAACGGCGAGCACAGCACTGCTCTTGTGCAAAGGAGCAGAGCTGGAGACTTTTGAAGCCATTATCTGCATGCTTCCTCTGCCGTATCACGCAGCTCACCGGTTAGAAGAGGATAAGGATTTTTCAAAGGCTAGTGAGACAGTTAGTGCATATCTGTGCTGATAATTGCATTTCACAATTAGGAACTTACTTAATTGCTCTTAAAACTGCTTCAGAAACCATGAAAGTGAGAGGTTTTGAGAAATGCTTTGTCTCTTGAACATTCACTTTCCCCGGAGACCATGACCCTGCTCTCAGACAACGGTGTATGGGAAGGGCCATGTACGTGGGTGACTGTGCAGTTGAGCATCCACACAAGTGCCAAACCCTCGTGCTCACCACCTGCAGCAGCAGAGGAGAGATCCCGTGCTGCCCCTCTGAGTAAGGAAACAAGAACAGGTCGATGCAAGCAATAGTGCCTCAGAGCAGGGATGTGCCATCAACACCTGGGGTACGGCACAGCAATTAAAAGCAGAGGGTGCAAAGCAGAATATCTAGATTGTATTTGCATTTTACCTTATTTTTTTGTTTCTTGTAGCCTTTTGCATTTAGCTATAAAAGCCTGAAGGTCTTAAACTTTTCTCAAGAAGACTTCTCTCAGCTTTGCTGTAAAGCCTTCCTGGTATTGGGGAACCAATTGAATTAGGGTGACTTTGCTAAACGATGAGTCTGTGTCTATCACAGCAAAATTTGCCAGCAGGCAGCCAGCACCCGCCTGGGGAGCAGAGAGACAACGTGCACCTTCTGCTGACTAGGGCTCCGCTGCGGCGGGCGGCAGGGAGCACCCGAGGAGCCATCCTGCAGGCACCATCTGCAGACACGGCCTCCGGCTCCGGGCAGACCCCAAAACGTTACAGCCTTTGCTTCTCTTCCTAAGGGTTTTGTTCTTCATCAGGGGATGAACTGATAAAAGCAACGACAGTTTCTTTCAAAAGACATTAAACAGCTCGCTTAGGAAACTCCAGCTGGTAAATTCGGTTAGAACGGCTACCAACTTCCTCCGTGGCAGGGCAAGCTGAAGATAAATTACTGGGTCGCTGATGACTTTCATCACTTAAGTCTGCTTCAGAAGTCATGGAACTGCCTTCCAGCATTCATAGCTGCAGCAATTTTATTACTTCAAAATGTTCGGACTGCCCTTGCCCCGACTGCTGTCCACCACAGCAGACAGCGGTTCACTGCAATGTCAAGATCCTCCTGAAATGTTCCTCTCTAAGGTGCAGCAGCTTCCAACCAAGTCCCTCCTGTCAAGGGACTCCTGCAAAATCCCCAAAGCCCACAGTGACTTCTGCCATGTTGGCTGAATTCCCAGTGGACCAAGGTACCGAGCTGCTACTCCACACAAGCGACCCACGTTCACGCACCACTGGCTTTGGCAGAGCCCCACGTCACACCCCAGGGTGCACTTTCCATTGCCCACGTTTCCACTGACGGGACCACGAGGCACCAACTACTCAATGAGTCATAAGAGCAAGGTACAGAGCCAAGACCTGTGGTCTGACCTCAGAGCTTTTGTGGTTTCCTTATTTTTCCCTCTTTTAGCCAAAGTATATTGAACCACATAAAGAATATCATCCGGCAGAACTGTTCCAGCTGGATGAGAGGGGAAAACCACCTTTTTTCTTCTCCTTTCTTGGGGTCACATACCACAGACAGCAGCTTTGCTCAGTTCCAGACATCTTCTAGGCAAACAGGCAGAAAAACTGCAAGTCCTAGCGAGACTGGAGGAGAGCTCAGTCTGTCTCCAGCATCTCCACCCCTCTCCTGCCAGATCACAGGAACCAGGCAGGGTTGAGGGCCTGCAGAACTGAGCAGCCAGAGCAGGTCCACACAGGAGGATTGGACATCGAGTAGCCCAAGACACATGTGTCTGCTGTCTACAGAAATCAACGCCAATAATAATGACATTTTTGATAATATACATTCAAACTTTTGCATAGGGCACCGGTCCCCAGAACAACCCCAAACTGGGAGACACTGAGGCAGCAAAGCCTCTTCTCCAGGCACAGCACTGATTCAGGGCTCCTAGCAGCAGGCTGTTGGTCTCTTGTGTGAGAAACATGGGAGAAGACCCTTGCAACAACCTCTGAGCAGTTGCTGGTGATGCTTGGACAGGTCCTGCTGGCTGGACATGACCAGTCACTGCTGGCACAAGATGTGCCTGGACTCTGGAAGTTGCATCAGAAGCCTGAAAGCGAACCGTGGATTCCACCTACAGATTGTTGTAGTGGGGCTGGTCTCTACTGGGCCATTTGTTCTGACAAAGCAGATTACCATCTCAGGCTATCACCCAAGCACAGCAGTGCTTGATATGCAGATATTCTCCACAGGTATGTGCTCCTAGCCTGGCTTGAAGGTGGCTCACTGTGGAGAAGCCAAATAAAAAATGGAAAATGCCAAAGCATCTGAAAGTTAAAAAATAAAAGCAGTACTTCTAACAGAACCCATCACCGACCTCTTGATTTTTGCTCTGTTCTAAAAATGAAATCATCAGGGAATGAAACACCATGGTCCAGATGTAGCCGCCACAGCTGATGCTGCTCTGCTACATCCACACAACAGGGAAGTGTGAGTGTAGCTGTACAGCCCGGGTGCTCCTGGGCCTCGGGCACAGCACCCCTCCCTGCTGCCCTGCAGCCCCCCAGGACAGCTGCTTCAGCCCTGGGCCTCTCACTTCGCATCCAGGAGCGCCCACATACAGGTAACGCCGAAGAGCAGAGAACAGACCCGTGGGAAGAAATCTGGCGTGCAGGTCCCCTCGGGCTCGGTGGCACCCGCAGCGAGGGGCTCCAGCATCCAGATCCAGTGACTAACACTGCATGAAGCCACCCAGGCAGTGCCACAGGGCTAGGTGCACGTCCGGCTGAGGTCTGGACATGGTATAACTGCGCTGAGGCGCAGTATAACACCATGTAACTGCACCTCAATGCCTTCTCCTCCAGGATGAGGTCTCTGAAACAGCAGAAGCAAAGACTTTTCACTCCCAGAGAAGACAACTCGCACCATGATCACAGGAAAGGTGGGTTCCTAAATGAAGTGCTGTGGAGCATCCTCAAGGTACAAGCGATTGGTATCATTTTCCCCTCTGCCCACCCTCCCCACCCCAGAAGAAGCATCACTGAATCTTTTACTTTTTTAAGGAAAATGTATTTTTGTGAAAATAGACTTTATTATAATAAAATTTGATATTAAATAAAAACATACCGTATCACCAACACTCGTGGACACTGTGCTGGCATCATTCACGTACCTCACATAACTGTCCTTCTCAAAACAAGTACCCCACTGAAACATGCAAAGAAAGAAACACTGAAAAGGATAGAAACCATGTAGTACAAAACTCTCCGTGGCTTAGAAAGGGATGTGTCTTAACTCAAGGAACACATCATCTCATATGAAAATAGCTGCAAACTCTCCATCCCCAGCTCTGCTCTCCAAATGCTCCAACTCAGGAGCAGCCCACTGAAACAGCCAAATAAAACTGCGAAAGAGGCAGGCGAAAAATAAATAAATAAATAGATAGATAAATAAATAAATAAGGCGGAGTCCCCAGCCAGTGTGTGGTCAAGGTGAACCAGCCAAGAGCAGCTCAGAGCAGCCCACGCTAGAGGCAGAAGTATCGACCCCCTTCAGGGTATCGTCCCTTCCTCCATGGGAATCCTCGTGCTGAAACATGACTGAGGCAGTGTGGGATGCTCCTAGGCACAGCTGCATATTTACAGGTTTACAGTACAAATAACTCACTTGTTCAGCCCAGAGACAGCAAAGGGGATTCATGGGAACAGAAAAGTGCAAGTTTTCTTTGCAGGAAGTGAAGGAGTTGACAGAACCTCCTTTGGACCAGAGAAATACCAGGGTGTGTAGTACAAGGGATCTCTTCCTAAGGGGTCGGGGCTTTGCTGGGAAAAGCCATTTAGCTAACTTACAGCCAGAATATAATTTTTTAATTAAAATATTTACAGGGAACTGGTGCATTGAGGGCTGCACGGAGCAGGACACACTACTGCGGAGGTAGCTGTATCCTAGAGCGGAGGCCTCACGCACCCCAGTGCCATGACACTGTTCAGGGCCACTGCCCGTGCTGGGTGGGCACCCACGGCTGGGCTCTCAGCAGAGACCACAGCTCACAGACCCACTGAAGAGTTTTCTCTATTCAACATACACTTTTTCCCTATGAAAATACTCTAATCAGCTTATTGCAGAGGGCTTCTCCTGAATTTCAGTCCCTGTGTGGACTGCACAGGCAGTCTTTACAGAACAATAAATCCCTTGTTAATTTTTCTTATTGGACCCAAGTTTTTTGAAGAGTTTTTTGCCTTTGAAGAAGAAGCCTCTCTTCTTTTTACTCTGACCAGGTACATCACTGCATTTGAGAACAGCCAGCGATGCCTGCTCTGGACACTGCTCGCCTGTGACAAGGCAGGAAGGTGGTAGAGGAGGAGGAGTTGGTGAAGAGTCACTCTGATCAACAGACCCATCTGGATTTAACTGAGAAAAAGAGAGAAAAAAAAAAAGAAAAAAAGCAGAATTTAGAGCTGATGAAAGACATCACGCCAACATAAACCTCAGCCACAGAACCCTGCCTTCTCCCCGCCAGCCTGCCCCTCACCCTGCAAGGCTTAGCTCCTCTATGCAGTTGCAGATCCACTTAGGAAGTTTCCAGTGGATTTACATTTTTCTGTACCCACTACGCAGACCCTGCCTGAGCTCAGACATTCTGAAATTCCTTAACTGTGGGCTAAGAATAGCACAGCAGAAAAGCCCCACTGAGGACTTGGTGAAAGATGCTGCTTCACAGCTGAAGACACCATAAGCAAAGCACCTCCTGAGAGCACAGATGGGTAGATACTGCTACATCCACGTATGCCTGCTGGCTGCCTGGGCTGGGGGGAGCACACTCTGGGACAGGAGGCAGGACGTTAAGAAAAAAACAACGTGATAAGAACAAAGACTGTGCAAGACCTTCAGAAGGTCAAGGACGCTGGCTGAGCTGGGAGGCTTCTGCAGCAGTGGCTGTGCTCCATCATGGTAAGAAGAGAAACTTGGAGTCTTGCAAGGCTGCTCAGCATCCATCAGATCTAGTTGCAGGAGGGGCAGAAAGCAACGGAGGAAAAGTTCATGATGAAGCAGGACATGGAGAAGTCTTGGATGAAGTGGCACACAGCAACTGCCATGTGTTCCTAAGTCACCTGAGCATTTGAGAATGTTAACTGGGATCCATGGTCCCAAGTGATGTGCTGTGTGCTGCTCCTTTTGGAAAGGGCTTTTAGAAATCAGAAAGTGCCCTAGTCCTGGGCTCAGTTTCCTCTTCACAAAATACCAATGGCAGGTCAGTTCCCAGCAGCAGCCTTCTTCCCATGATCTCCTCTTGCTGGGTTTAGGTGTCTGAACAGTGACCATTTCTGATCTGGCAAGGTAAGCTTTCCCAAGAAGCTGCAAAGTTCACCAGGAAAAAGGCTCTGGGTTTCTGAGGCCCAGGAGAGCACTTGTCCCACTACCTTCTCTTCCACACAGCTTTCACAAACCAGCATCTTCCAAGCTCCCAGCTGTACACCCTACCTCACCACTACACAAGACACAACGTGACGGTGGCTGGAGCCACATCACGCCCTCATCATCTCTCTGCTTGGGTCCCACTAAGTCAGGGAGAGTTGAGTGCATGTCCCTTAAGGGTCTGTAAGCAGCCACAGCTCCAACAGGGAAGATAAGGTAGTGACACTGGCAGCAGGATGCTCTGCCTGGGGTGGAAGCATTACTGAGGAGCAAAGACATTAGCCCTCCACAGGAAATGTTAGAGTATCACAGCAGTTGCTTGCAGTTCACTGGCAGGAGGCAATGTGCTTTGGTCCTGGTCCCACACCGTGCCTGGGGAAAGCTCCTGAATCAAGCAGACGCACAGAGATAACATTACCGCCATAGCTATAGCACAATCACACTTTATGTGCTGTGGGTTAGTTCATTTAAATTTCCGGGGGTCAAAAGCAAAAGCAGCACTGCTCTATCACCCTACTGCCATTTCAGCACCCCACCTTCTGTGTGACAAAGAGCACAAAAAGTGGCTGTGACCTTCCTCCCCTCACAGGTTGAGGTTATGCTGCTGTACTCCAGTTGCTTCTCTCTGCTGCGAGAAGAAAGCACTGCTGGTACAAGGTGAGCAGAAACCTCTCCTCTAGAGTCAGACTCAGTATGTGCAGTACCCATCAAATCAGTCCTGAGCAGACAGGAGTACAGGACTTAGAGAGCTTGGTTTTGCTGTGAATATACGACCCCTCCCAACTCCAGACAGTTGAGAGTTGACTACTGTCTTGCAGCAATGACTTTAGACTGTCCCAGGTGGCAGTGTCATCAGGCTCTCTCTTACCTGAGCTAAGGTCTCTGGCTACAGGGACAGAGATGTAACTCCACCTCTCCTCCCTACAGTAAACAATACAGAGGCTGATTTTTCCTGAACTCACACTCTATTTTCATGTGGAAATCTTGTTCCACACACTTTCAGAGGCACCTCTGTGACTCTCCAGATACGTGTTGTAAGGCCAGCAACTCCCAGGACATGCTGCAGAGGGCTTGATGGCACAGCCTGGCCCTCGTGAAAGCTGCACTCAGCCTGCAAGCTCCACTCCTCCAACTAATGCTGCAGCATCAACTGCAATGTTTGCATCTCCTGGCAGCACGCATGCACAAGGTACAACACTTGCTGTCGATGGCCCCAGTGCTAGTCAGGTCTGAGAAGTCTGGAAATAAACCTGAATGAATCTAGATGAACCATTTTGAGGAAGATTTATGGAGGCAAAGAGAAAAAGTAAGCCAGATGAGGGCTAACTTGGTAGCCTACTGAGTTCGCTGCGTGCAACATAAAGAATCCCTGGTTTCTGCTCCAGAAGCTATGTATGCGTTGTGCAATGAAGAATCCTTGGATAAAATGCACAGAGCATTGGGCTAACCTCAGAAAGGCTCTCACCAACACGCAGCAAGTGATCTCCCCTATGAAGCTCAGGCCTCGGGCTGTCTGGCTCAGCATCCCCAAAGGACGTGGGAGTGGTGTGAAGGGCCCTGAACAACTGGGGCCGTGGAAGCTTGGTGCCTGTGCAGAAACCAATCTTCTGGCAAAGGTGGGACAGTTTTAGGGCAGATCTGAAGTGGCCCAAACCTTACACAATCTCCCCTGTAGAGCTCGCTATGAAAGACTGCATACAAAATGAGAGGCAGGTACCCAGACCAACTCACAAACGTCACAATAATTTACTGTAACAGGGATACTGCAGTATCAGTGCCATTATCAAATATCTAACAGTTTAAAGGAAGCGACTAGCAGTCTCCTGTCTTTGCGGCTGCAAGTCCTGCTGATTCCCAGCTGTGGTATACGATGCCCAGGCAGATTTCCACACCCAGAGGCACTCACACACACACAAGCATGTGCAGATATTCTCAGGGGTCTCTATATGGCAGAAAAGCAACAGAACCAGTTCACAGATTCATCTGGTAAGAGACAAATGATACTAAAATTAGGGCTTCTCCAAGAGAAACACGAAGGAAAAATTGCTCTGTCAAGATCCTGATAAAAGCTATTAGGGTTGATAAACAGAAGAGTCATGTTAGTTTTCAGGAGGCAGTTTTCAGTGCTGTCTCAGGTATTACCGATCTGCATAATTTCAGGAAAACAATGTTTCAAACTAAGAAAAACACAGATCTGCTCCCACTGCCCCCCAAAACCAGGGGTCTCACCCCCCCCAGCCCCAAAATTGTTTCTTTAAGTGTTGTCGGATAGAACAATTATCCACACAAGGTTGGTTTTAGGGGCTAAATGTTACTACTTTAAGTTGATGGTGTGCAGGGGGTTTTCAGGACTATACTCAGGAAGGAGTAAAATCAGGAAGAAGAAAACCCCGCAGGCTGAACATGGGGTGTGCTCAGCCTGAGCAGGATCTTGCAAAGGCTAAGCGAAGCTTTGGCTGTTGACGTGTTTGAACAGTGGTAGAAAGGCCAGGCTGAATTACAAAGCAGGTCTTTTCTAACCCTGAATATCCAGCACAGCCCCATCACGGTCCCCAAAACCACCAGATAATTGTTCCAAACAATCGTACTTCACGCGCTGAACAGATCGTGGCTTGTCTTTACCAATCTGGCAGGTAAAGGTCTGCCACCAGAGGATTTGGAGGTGGACTTGCTAGCAGAGCCCCAAACCAGCCTGTCAAACTACAAGCAAGAAAAGGAGTAAGCTACAGGTGCAGGACCCTTTAATATGCTAGGCTGGGTGGGAGATGGAAGAGATCTTTTCATACAAACTTACATGGTTGCTCTCTCTCTCTCTATGTATCATTCATATCTATCACTGGACTCTTCTCTTCCTCATTCTCTGAAGAAAAGAACCGTCACGGGTGCATAATACAGGCAGAAATAAATACATGAAATCGATTAGAATTGAACACTTTCTGAAGGTGCTTTACAATCAGTCTTTGGCAGAAACTGCACGTTACTGATGCAAAAAATATTCATTTGACAGCCGCAGCATTAAAGCAACTGCTCTAAATTGGTGAGCATGAGTGTTTCAGGGCCCTAGCTTGTGATCATAACTTCTTGGATACTCCTCTTTGTGCTGTATTTTTTATTGCACAGTCTAATCCCCAAATGTTGTCAGATTGAAAGTTAAACTGCTTCACCTTTTTCAGTTGCCAGCATTTAAGATTTACTCAGAAATAATTCAAAATAATCCACCTTCTCCAGTTCAATTTGGAAAGGAAATTGTCCTTATTCTCAGGCCTTTGGCACAGCAGCAGGGAGAAGGGAAGTGTGAAGATCAGACAGGGTGAAACCATCAAATCCAAGAAGTTACAAGCGATTTAAAAATCACTCATGATCATTCTGGAGAAGCTTCTGTTAAGATTGGAACTAGCTTCAACACAAGTCCAAAGCTCTGCCGTGATCCCGTGGTGCACACACATGCTCCCTGACGTGTTAGGTCTCAAGCTGGGACTGGTAAATTTGATGGGAGCCTGTTTTGCCACACTGACTTTCAGAAGACTCAAACAATACTTCTCTAGAGGCTGCCAGGCATCTTTTGCCTTCAGTGATTTTTCTGCATATCCCCTGCTACCCCCATCCCAAACAGCCACAGCACAGGTGCTGCTGTTTGCGTTGTATATGCCAACAACACACTTTAACAAGTACAATTCTAAACTCCACGGAGTGAATACGTGACTGGAGTTTGGAAAGCCCCAGGCATGGTTTATCACTGTGAGCTTTCATTCCAGCTCAGGGATGGTCCTCAGAACATGTATGTTTTACAAGAGGAGGTATTCCTTCTGCCTTATCCATCGGGTGTTCTGCCCACAGGTAGGGATGCTGTGAGCGCTGGGACAGAGCCAAACACTCAGTGGGGTCAGGTTCTGTCTCTCCTCAGTAATGACTAACCATACTTAAATGTAATTAACTAATACAAGTTTGGTTATGAGCAGGGTAAATGTACTGCTTTTAAAAGAGGGCAAACATGCCCTTCATATTGGGAAGCTGTTTAGATAGATCTGGATTGCAAAGCACAAGCAGGAGGCAGGACTGCTCACAGTTAAAGAGTGCTAAGGCAGAATCAGCCAGGATTGGTGAGGAAGGGAGGCAGCAGGACAGGAGGCAGTCTGTCACTACACAGAAGCAGCCAACAAAGTCATGCCTAGATAGTTAATATGGATTCCCACTAAAATAAAATTGGCTTAATCATCATCAACTGAATTTTCCAAATCCCCAGACTATGAAGAATAGCAGCTCATGGACTAACTGAGTGCCAAAACTACCAAATCGATCCTGACCTAAGGCAACAGCTTCAAGCTCTGCAGACCCAAAGTCAAGGCCAAGGCAAGGGGAGGCCCTGTTGGATCCCTGGCAGACAGAAATGGAGACAAATGCAAAGGTCTGAACAGCAGGCAAGCCTGAAACATGTCTAATTTATACAATTGTTTTTAATCATATTTGAAAGGCATTTCTGTTTAAAAAACAAAGGTGTCATGAGCCGTAGGAAAAAAGCTTACAGCTTTGAGCATGAAGGGATATCTGGGCCAACCTGCTGTGTCCAGGGGAACAGTAACCCACTGCTGAA